TTCTGCTGTCCTTACAAATTCACTAGTTTCCCATCTGGGCCAGCTGGACCAGCATAGAGGACTAGAAATTTAAACAGAGGCGCTAACACCAAAATCCTAAACAGTTACACCCTTCTAAATCCAGTGAAGTTAATCAGCTTAGAAAGGTGTAACTTTGTTTAGGATTGCATTGCTAATCTCATAAACTGCAAATATAAGGGCTGCCTTGCACCTTTCTTGCTACAGTACCTCACCTCCTCTCCCCTCTCCACCACCTGCTATAGAGGGTCTCAGGATTTTCTGGAATGATACACTACTCATCATGAGTGAAAAATGGTTCATGTGCCCCATGCATGTGTGTAAGCGCTTTCTGCTCACTCACGGGGATCTCTGAATATGGGCAATAGAAGGGGAACCTCCAGTACTGTTACACAAGAAAGGAACTGATCTTCTGTATTCCAGAGAGTAAAATTATCATTCTGAACCTAAACCTAAAGACATACTCATTTTTAACAGTCAATGTGATATTTATCCTTATGAACACCCCACTGTTTTACAACTACATGCATAAGCAAAGCTAACATTTAAGGCTTCCTAGGTAGAAATAGATGTGCGTGAAGGACCCACAGGAGGAAAAATGAAACGACAAATGGAATCTCTGCCATAAAGTCACTGCCCAAGAAATCACATCAGGGAGATAACACCAGTGTGTGAACTGGCAATTCCTTGCTTGATTTGAGTTATGAAGAAAGAATACAAAAAATAAGAATCTGCCTTCATATATATGGGAATGTTGGAAACAATGAAGGGAAACTGTGTAGGTGTCATAGTGAGAATAAAATTACTTCATGCATTGTGCAATGTTGCCGTGTAGTGATGTTTCAATATGGTGAAATGTCATTTATTGAGCAATATCAACACTCGGCAAAGCCTTTATGATATGATTGCTGGGCAAGGCCATAGCACAGTATAATTTCAAGATGAAATGGATTGAGTAATGATGCTACAGAGCAATGGAAGTTCTGATTTATCTGCTGAGTGGCATCATCTCTGGAATCAAAACCACACCAATATTTGCATACATATTTTGATTGCAAAAGCTTTAGCAAAACAAGTATGGTGTTCCCCCCCATTATTTTAAACGGGAAAATAGGAATCAGTAATAAATACAGAAGTTCCATTTCCTGACCTGTGAAAGACTCATCCAGACCCCTGTATGATTTCTAGAACTTTTCAATAAAGTAGATAATATAACAAGTATATACTGTGAAGCAGCATTAGGTTAGAGACAATGGATGGTGTTGCAGAGGAAAAAGAACAGCTGGCACAACAGAGTAAAAGCAACATCTGTGAGCTAGATGTCTCTGGTTCAATTTTCTGCAATCTCACTAAATGTTACCAGGTGATGTTAAGCAAGGTGTTCAGTCTCACCCTCCTTTTTAACACTAGTTATAATATTGAAAGAAATAGCTTAGAGAGAGCTGTCATGACAGTTACATAGATAATGAATGTGAAGCACGTTGAATGCCTATGAAAAGATCTCCAGGACTGCATCTGAAGGTGCTGTTCCACTGGCGGATTTCCACTTCTGTGGCAGAGAAAGGGAAGACAATTTTTTGCCAGTGCCTCCTTCCACTGCAGACCCCACTGTGCCCCCTACACTATTCCTGAAAGTCCCTTGAACCCCCAGAGCACAGTTTTGGGGCACTCAGTGGGCTGCCACAGGTGAGGGAGGTGCAGAAGTCCCACTCCACATGTCAAATCCAAAGCATAATTGGACAGAGTGGTAATACTTCAGAAAATTAAGTGAGAGAATTGCATTGTAATGTGGTCATTTGAAGTGATGGAAAACAACAAAGCATTGCTACAGCACAACATCCGTTTCAAACAGGGCTTGGGTGGTGCTTCCATAATTTCAGCAGCCAATCAAATGAATGGGAGTTATGCAACTACTGTGTTTGAAGGACTCCTCCCAAGGCATTTATGAGGTGATGATATTGTCATGCCATTGCATCACACTAACCTAGTGCCACTGATACAATTGTGATTGTAAGGAGTAACATACACACCTAAGTCACTGAATAAACTCAAACAACCCTAACAGCCTGAGCCTAACCATATTTACTTGCAATTAATCCCCATTAATTTTGAAGTTTAAAGAATACAACTGAAGCCTTACATTTCTATCCCCATAACTTGCCCTTACCATCCTCACTGAAAGATCTCAAACACTTGAGAATTAGATGAAAAATCCTGCTTTTTTTAAAATTGCTATTACAGAAACTCAGGCTATACCATACAATTGATAACAGGCTATATAGAGAAGCATTTAAGGGAAAAGCAATTAGGCACAGTTTTCTTAGCAGTCAAGATGGCCTCTGGTAATCCCTCAGAAAATGAGAAACATCTAAGTGACTTCCGTTAAAAGCGCTTATTGTAGCAGTCTTGTTTGCTGACAATTTACTCCACACTACTGACATAGGTCTCCTCGTCTTTCAGAAACTATCTTTTGTCTAGCACTGTTTATTGCAATGTACCATGAAGTACACAGTAGCAAATCAGATATGAATAATAATCATCAAACCACTTTGTCATTGAAATCTTTTCTGGTTTTTTTTAAAACCCTGCCTGGATGTGACTAGTTAAGCAGTTTAGTATTATCTATGTGAGAAGAGAATATAACTATAAACTGGGGGGGGGGGGACTAGTCCCAAACTAACTGAAAATGTATTTCTTATGTATCTTACTTGGCCTTTGGAAGCAGGTACATGTTGGATTCATATATCTGAGATGATAAACTTGCAAAAGGAGGCAGGTATGGCTCTCCCTGAACATGAGATTAAGTTACAGTTGGAGAAATAACAGAAAGAGGAGGTGGCAGGAAAGACAAGGAGGCTTAGGCAGTCATGGGTTCCTGGAGCCCATAGCCAAGGCTGCATGCATCCCATTATTCCACACCACGAATGTGGATGGTTGGTTATCATTATAGCTGTATAAAGTCATCTTCATGCACTAATTTTAATACACACATAAAACATTTTATGAATTTGGCAAGCATGCATTGATAACTTTCTCTGCTACACAGATATACTCCTCGGGAGTCAGGCTTGGATGTGGTGAAAAACAAGTTTCCACTGCATAACCTGCCCAGCAACCCTAAGCCGCTGCCTGTGTCTCCATTATCAACCTTCATCTGTAATCTGTTTGAAACTATTAAGTTATTCCACTAATGCCAATCTTAAATGCCACCGTTTTGAACTATTTCACAATTCATGGTTTGATTCCATGCCTTCCTGGCTACTGCGCCTCCAGCTTTTTCATTTAATCCACAATTACTGGATCTCAGTTCAAAAATGAAAGGGAACAAGGCCTGATCGTCTGCACCATGAAACTGAAATATGAGATCAGACCGTGCAGTACATTTTGCTTAATAATGAAGAACACTTGCAAGCAGCACAAAAGAAAAGGAGTCCAGTAGCACCTTAATGACTAACAAAATTTGTGGCAGGTATCTGATGACTGACAAAAGCTCCTACCCTGCCACAAATTCTGTTAGTCTTTAAGGGGCTGCTGGACTCTTGCCTTTTTCTCCTGCTCCAGACACACTAACACGGCGACCCATCTTGATCTATACTGGCCCCGGTCACACAGGCCGGATATCGGGGGGGCGTGGCTAATTGCCCCAGCGCAGTTTGATGCAGGATTACACGATCAGACGCGCCGGCGGCACACCACGGGTCCTTCCCTTGGTGCCGGTGGGTACACAAGAGACCGGAGGGGAATACCACGTGCCGGGCGCGATCACACCATGGGCGTCTGGAGGCAGCCGTGGCAAACGTTTACTAGTATCTTGGAGGTACTAGTTTTTTAAGGCGCACTGTCGGCGGTAAACCACGGGTGCGCTCCACTTCCCAGATGTTGGGGTGTGATCGCGCCTGGATAATCCGCCCACCATCCGTGCCTCTCCCGCGGCAACTTTGCCGTGTGACCGGGACCACTGAACAGCATAAGAAATGGAAATTGCTCAGAGCACTGAGTCTGCTCTGAAAAATATGAAATACACCTGTAACCAGTATTTAGCTCCAACATGTTATACAAAATGCATTGCCTCAAGGATGCTTTCTGCAATACGGAAAAATAAATTTGCAGGCAGGGTAACCTCCACTGTTGCTGATGAAACAATGGAAGATGCTATGCGAGTCTGTGGATATGCAACAAATCACATACATCTCCTTCCACTGGCAGTTATCTCCGGCTACTGTGGGAAGCAGCCCCCGTCCAGCAAGCCAGATGACACTGGGATGCTGAGAGTTAAAAAGAGGATGTCAGGAATCCAACAGCCCAGCAAACTACGTGGAGTAGTTATTCTTCCTCAACCTAACTACCTCAGGGGGGACATGAATTTTTATTTATTTATTTTATCTACTTCCAATTTATATCCCGCCTTGCCGGTGCGAACTGGAAGAAGGGAGCTCCATGTCAAGGAAACCTTAAGAGCAGACCAGTGGACCAGAACTTCAGCTTCTCCCTGCCGCTGGATATGACAGACTCTGGGCTGGGGTCTCTCCTTCAGGCAGAGAGATCGCAATGGAGTGGACGACGATATCTACATCCGAGGGGAGGCGGTGGCGAATACCAGGCCCAGCCGGCCCGCTGACTTTCAGTCCGGCGCTGCAGCCTTGCCTCAGAGGCCAAGCGAGTTTAGACAAGAACCGCGGGGCCATTTTGACCGCTGCGTGACAGTGACAGCAGGTAAGGGACCCGGGGCCGGGCGGGCGAGAGAGAGAGAGAGACTCGTTCTTTGGTTGGAAACGACGCAGCCTAAAGGGGGTGGGGGGTGGGGGTGGAGACAGCTAGCGGGAGACAGCGGAGAAGAGCTGGCAGGTGCAGCCCGGCATGCAGAGGAGGGCAGGCGGACTGCAGCGAGCGGACGCGTCGAAGAGGCTGGCTGGCTGCGGGGCGCTCTCAGTGCCAAGCCTGGCGGCAGGCAGGCAACGCGTCGCCGGCCGGCGCTTGGTTACCTCGGATGCTCCAGGACCAGCGGTAGAACTCGAAGGTTTCGTTCACCACGTTGGCGAAGAGGCCCGGCCCTCCAACGAAGCGATCCATGGCGGGCGGGCGGGCAAGCAGCAGCAGCAGCGGTGGCGGCGAGGAGGACGGACTCGCGGGGGGGGACTCTGCTCCGGGGCTGCTGCTGCTCCCCTTCTCGACCTCGGAATGAAATTTAAATCTCTGTCTCTGGGTGTCTATCTCCAGGCTCCGCCTCGCATCAGCCGACTCCCGCACCCAGGGGCAGGGAGGGGAGGAAGAGGCAGAAGAACAGGCGCCGAGGCTGCTGCGGCACCTGGGATGGACCGCAACGCTTAGCTCGGCTTGTGTCACGTGCTCCACTCAGACAATCCTCTCTCTCCCCCCCTCCTTCTCCTTCTGTGGCATCCCACGGACCAGGGCACTTGCCGGGCCGCGCAGGCGCGGGGAATGGCAATGCGCCGGCTGCGCTGCTCAATGAGGGCGTTCCTAGAATCTTCCCTTTTTGTCTGCGCGGGGTTGCAAATTAGGAGGCTACCCTCTTTCGTTGCTGCTTCGTGCTTGGGTTGTGCGGAAATCGAACAGGTGGCTTCCAGGTTTTTCCATCGCTGCTTTTCTATCCATGCCCTGGGGGGAGGGGGAATCCACCCAGTTTCTGTCTGTCATATATGATATAGCTGTTAACATCATGGGAGCTTCAGCCTTGCCCGGAAAAAAAGAACGTTTCTATTCGGTAATATTTAAAAAAAACCTTATTCAAAATCACTTAGCCCCCTCCTCATCCTTCTGCTTCGCCTTCGGGCTGCTTTCTTCCGCTCCCCCTTCTTTCTTAAGAACAAGAGAAGCCCTGCTGGATCAGGTCAAAGATCCCTCTGATCAAGAATCTTCTTTCTGGTGGTGGGGAGATAATGATGCGAAGGCTGTTTGTGTCCCCAGAGGATTGGAATTCTGCATACTGCCACTGAAGGTGGAGGATCCACTTAGCAGTTCTGTCTAATGCCTGTTAATACACCTGTCCATTAGGAATGTGGCTTATCTTTAAAACAAATGGCCATCCATGATACCCTTTGGCTGCAAATTCTGTAGGTTTAATTATGCATTGCTTGAAGTATTTTCTCTTCCTTGTTTAGAATCTGCTGCCAATCAATTTAATTGTGTGATCCCAAGGTGGCTCTCATCTAGCAGGGAAGTTGCCCAGTTTCTGTGCAACCTAATGAACTCAACATCTCTTCTTCCTCACTTTGCCAGTTCAACTTTGGAGGAGGGACACATACAGGGAGCAGGGGCCCACCATTTCATCCTTGGCTGGTAAACTTACCAGATATGTGTTGGCATATCTGTTGGGTGATAGTGAGATATTGAAAAAATGGTATTTAGCAGAGATAATATAGCCCAGCAGAGCCTGAGTAAAATAATTCAGACTGAGAGTCCATGTGTGATTAAAATATAAAGTTTTTACTAAATTCTAGCATGGGAAAGGGTAACTGAGATGAAAATAACAACAGAGCATAATCAGCTACATCCTTACACTACAAAGACAAAACTAGAAGAGATTATGGCTGCTCTTCTTCTTCAGAACACCAAAACAAAGACAGGAAGAGAAGCCATAAAATGGTAATACACCTTGACACTTTAGTCCCAATCAAATCCCTAGATCAGGGAGAAAATTCCCGGGCTTCCTACATCTAAAGAACATTGGTTACATGAGAAACATGTGACTTCCTGTGAGTAACATAAACAAACATTTAACCCCAGATATCCAAAATGTTTCACTTGCAAAATTAGAAATGTTAAAACTTTAAATCTGTCTTGAATCTGTGTCTCATAATCCAAGATATATTGTGACTACTGAGTGTGGTTAGTCAGAGTCATTTTATACACTGTAAAATTATTATCATCATCATCATCATTGTTGTTGTTATTGTTATTATTATTATTATATCATCATCATGATAAGGTTGTAAAACCCAATGAAGATTACAAAAAGATTGAAATAAAAACTCACTTTAACAACTGGAAACAAAAGCACTTGCATGAGCAATATTTGAAAGATATAGAGAATAAAATTGATAATGAAAACTCCTGGAAGTGGCTCCAAAATGGGCACTTGAAGAAAGAAATGGAAGGACTCATTCTAGTTGCACAAGAGCAGGCATTTGAAATGAAAAGCATAAAAGCTGAGATTCAGAAGACCAGTGGTAACAGCAGATGTCAACTTTACACGACAAAAGATGTAACAGTTGACCACATGGTCAATGCCTGCTGTACAATTGCTCAAAGAACATCATGATAGAGTGGCAGCTATGTTGCATTGGAATCTTTGCAAGAAATATGGCTTCCCATCAGCAAGAAATTCATGGGAGCACAAACCAGAAGAAAATGATGAAACAAAGATTCTTTGGGACTTCTGATTGCAAACAGAAAAACCTCTGTAGCATAACACCCCTATCACAATGGTAGAAAAAAGGAGAAATAGGGTTTGAATCATCGACATTGCAATCCCAGGAGACAGCAGAATAGAAAACAGAAAAGAAAGAAAAGGAGAAGATCGTGAAATACCAAAACCTACAATTAAAGTGCCTCTGGAGGAGGAAGAGGAAGAAAAAGAAGAAGAGTTGGATTTATACCCCACCTATCACTCGGAGTCTCAGAGTGGCTTAACAATCACCTTCCTCTCCCCATAACAGACACCTGTGAGGTACATGGGGCTGAGAGAGCTGTGACTGACCCAATATCACCCAGCTGGCTTCATGTGGAGGAGTGGGGAATCAAACCCGGTTTTCCAGATTAGAATCTGCCACTGTTAACCACTATACCATCATGCTAGTTGTCATTGGAGCCCTTGGAACAGTGCCTAGAAGTCTCAAGAAATGCCTGAACATTCTGGGCATTGAGCAGATACACCAGCTCAGCTCCAGAAGACAGTGCTGCTTGGAACAACAAGAATCCTACGAATACACATCTGTAGTTTCCAAGAACTTGGCTAGATCTTGAATTGCAGAACACCATCTACTTGTCAAATATCTGACTGTGACAATTCATCATCATCATCATCATCATCATCCTTCTTCTTCATCACCATCATCATTGACTGTTTATATGGTTGCGTAGCCATGTTTTTGTAACAGTCTACAGCAAATGAGAACAATTAAAAAACCATAAAGCCATTATGTAAAACATCATCAAAACAAAATGAAAACAGCAGCACAGGCATCAACATCACAACAATCCACAGTAAACTGGCTTAGGTTTTACAGCAACATGTCAAAAAAGCTCAGTGGAAAAAGTTCAACCTGCCTTTGAAAGAAGCCAAGTTAAGAGATAGGAGAATATTATAGTAGCAGATAAAATAGACATATTTATAAAATGGGTAAACATATTAAAGGGTAAAAGTTCACAGGACATGAAGGGAGGGGATAACCAATGGCTCAGCCAGCACTTGATTCATGGGTGTGCACATCTGTTATTTCAAAGGTGAAGCCAGACTCACTCTATGACTGAGGGATAGCCTTTGAGATCTGTAATTTTTAATTACCTCTGTCTTTACCGCAATTCACTTCAGACTCACTTTCCACTTTGAGTCAATTTACCACCAAGATAAGCATCATAGCACCAAATGGGACAAAGTTCTCCTACAAGGCTGATGTTGTCTATGGATTTCTTCATAACAGCTAGCAAAAGACATAAGAACATAAGAACATAAGAACTAGCAAAAGACAAAACGAAACAAAATGTCCAAGAGGTATAGGAAGCTGATATTGGACCAACAATTGCAAAAAAACTGGCTTGTTTTATGCATGGCTTACCAGGTAGAAGATTTCACTGTTCTCTACAACAAGTACACAACAACACAGGATCTCTCTCCTTCCAGCACATCACAGACCAATGAATACTAAAGTCTTCTGTGGTGCTCTGATTTGGGGAATAATCTGGAAAATGACATTTGAAGTCAGGTGCAAGTGACATGGATGTTGAGAAGTCACAGTAACAAACAGTTGAGACCTAATTGCCTTGTGTTGCTTTTTCACCAGCCCCAGCCACATAGAAACCCTGGCCTTTTCTCCTATAATCGCTGGTGGTGTTTTTTATTAAACCAGGGCTCTTTTTGTAGAAAAAGCCCAGCAGGAACTCATTAGCATAATAGGCCACACCCAACAGCAGAAACTCATTAGCATATTAGGCCCAACCCCTGACAATGCAGATCTGCCCTCACAGAGGAGGAAGAGCTTGTACCTGAATAAGCCTTGATCTTACAGGTGCCACTGAACTCTTTTGGATTACTATCTATGTGGGGGGGGGGATGCACAGATCTGCCCACACAGAGGAGGGAGAAAGAGAAGGGAAGAAAGAGAGAAGTAAAGGAGGGAAAGAAGGAAAGAAAGAGAAGGAAAGAAGGAGGAAAAGAGGGAAAGAAAGAGAGAAGGAAATAAGGAGGGAAGGAGGGAAAGAAAGAGAAGGAAAGAAGGAGAGAAAGAAAGAAGGAGAGAAGGAAATAAGGAGGAAAAGAAAGGCAGAAGGGAAAAAGGAGGGGGAAAGGGAGAGAGAGAGAAAAGAGGGAGGGAAAGAAAAAGAAAGAGAAGGAAAGAATGACAAGAAAGGAGAGAAGGAAAGGAGGGAAAGAAATAGAGAAGGAAAAAAGGAAGGAAAGAGGAAAAGAAAGAAAAAGGGAAAGAAAGAGAAAGAGAGAGAAGCAAAGAAGCCCCAACACCCGCAGCCACCCCTTTCCCTTCTCTCTTGAGAAAGAGGAGGGAGAGGGGTGGCTGCAGGTCACGCTCCCGATCTCCTCTTGGACATTGGGCATGCAATGCCTCCCAGCTCCCTGCACTTAAAGGGACTCTGTTTAAGTGCAGGGAGCCTGTTTGAAGGGCCCCTGCGCACGCAAGGCCTCTCAGTTCCCTGCACTTAAAGGGACTCCGATTAAGTGCAGGGAGCCGGCTTGAAGGGCCCCTGCACATGCGAGGCCTCCCAGTTCCCTGCACTTAAAGGGACTCCCTTTAAGTGCAGGGAGCTGGCTTGAAAGGGCCCCACGCACGTGATCTCCGCTCAGAGATCGGGCGTGTGAGGTCTCCCAGCTCCCTGCACTTAAAGGG